TATATATATATATATACCACATCTCTTTCCTTCCCTGATAGAAAATCATCATTAATGAGAAATGAGAGATAAATTTATTGTGGATTTAAGGCCTTTAATAAAGCAATGAAAAAACCATGATAATTTATCTGAACGTAGCCTACCCGATGAATGTTTTATTATCAACGTTCAACTTCCAGAATAAATTATTATTCTGTTCTAAGACAAGGATTATTCCAGCAACATACTGGATCATGAATTTATAATTTTCTGAGGGGTGGGGATGTGAGTTTCATAAGAGATAGTTTGTAAAATTGATAGATACCCCCCCCAAAAAAAAACAACAAAAAAAAACAATCATCCTACTCATCTCGAGAGGCCAGCAGAAAGTACAGGACTCCATCTTTGTGTTGTTGCACGTCGACTAATTTCTGTTTTTACGACCTACAGATGAAGACTTACACTCAGATTGGTTAGGGTAGATGTAAGGTTATCATGACTATTTTTGGATAATTAATGTGGTAGAATGTGTAATACATTATTTTACAGCTGTAATATTGCCATCGTAGATAGGATATAGCAGAGAGCTGAGACACGTGTTTCGTTGCTTGGCTTACATAACAAAGACTAGAGGCAGAAAACAAGTAAGCAGAAGAAATTCTTATGGCACAAATGATAATCTACCTAAAATATACATGTGCTTATTAAATATAAAACTTTAGCTTCAACCTCTCTACTTGTTCTACATAATAACCATCTTGTACATAATAAAATATAGAACTATAATAACCATATTGTACATAATAAAATATAGCACTATAGTAACCATCTTGTACATAATAAAATATAGCACTATAATAACTACTGTACATAATAAAATATAGAACTATAATAACCATATTGTACATAATAAAATATAGCACTATAGTAACCATCTTGTACATAATAAAATATAGCACTATAATAACTATCTTGTACATAATAAAGCACTATAATACCATATTGTACATACTAAAATATAGTACTATAATAACCATCTTGTACATAATAAAATATAGCACTATAATAACTATCTTGTACATAATAAAGCACTATAATACCATATTGTACATACTAAAATATAGTACTATAATAACCATCTTGTACATAATAAAATATAGCACTATAATAACCATCTTGTACATAATAAAGCACTATAATACCATATTGTACATACTAAAATATAGTACTATAATAACCATCTTGTACATAATAAAATATAGCACTATAATAACTATCTTGTACATAATAAAGCACTATAATACCATATTGTACATACTAAAATATAGCACTATAATAACCATCTTGTACAAAAAAATTATTTTTCCTGATAAACATGTACATTACACCTCTTTAGTTGAGATGAATCACAAACCAACTACATAATTACAAATCACTGAACACTGAAAAACAAAGGTTTTGTAGTTGTATATCCTACAAATGTGGTATTAATAGAATCAATATAATTCCAGTCACACTTTTGGGAATTACTAATATTGCTCGAAACAAAATTCTAAAGATTTACTCTTTTTGTCATTTCAGTGTTACTACAGTATTCGGTTTACCCATAAAGTATTATGAGGTTGGTTTAAAAGCCGTGATTTATTAAATATATAATGACAGTTCATTGAAGCTGGACATGCGAGAGACGAAAACCTACCACAGCAGGAATCTGGCTGGGAAGGATTGGCTGGAGAGGCATCTGTTGCAACAGGGCATTCTTAAGGGCAAGATGGTTTCTTCCGTTGATTAGCAGCTGATCCTTCAAGTGTTGTGGAGGGTGGAAATACTTACAGGGAGGTTTTTCTCGGTTACACCGCCCCTAGAGTAATAAACACAGAAAAGTGGTTCTAATCAGAAATGATACAAGAAATACGCAAAGACAGGATTTAGATACAATTTTCTTAACCTATTAAAATACGAGACGCCTGTGATTTCAAGTTGAATCACACTTTTTATTGAACTTGATTGTTAACAGTCAATTTTCGGCTCTAACATTCTGGATGAAACATCTCATGGATAACTAACCAGTTCGTGTAAGTAACAGAAAACAAAAATCTTCAAATTCCAATAAATCTAGTCGTTCACATTAAAATATGCGCATTTTGAGAATATTGGTGTATTTTAGTTTGAGGATTTATTTTCCTACGAAACCTCAATCTGGACAGAATAAGAAATGTTTGATCATTTTTTTCGTACAAATACACACACACACCTTTCCCAAAGAAAGGCTCCTCCCAGTAGCACAGCGGTATGTCTGCGGACTTATACTTCTAAAAACCGGATTTCGATACCCGTGGTGGGCAGAGCACAGATAGTCCATTGTGTAGCTTTGTGCTTAATTACAAACAAACATACAAACAAACAAACAAACATAGAACGCTAGAATCCGGGTTTCGATATTCGTGGTGGGCAGAGCACAGATAGCCCATTGTGTAGCTTTGTGCTTAATAACAAACAAACAAACCCAAATAAAGTCGTTCTACCATACGGTCTATCTTCACACAGGGCTATTTTAATCATTTATTTTTGTTTTTTTATTATGCTTGTGAAATGTTGATTTTTTTTATTTTATTTTATGGATATAGTGTTTATATTTGAGTACACTAATATAAACTAGTTTGTTGGTTCGACAGGTTTTCTGAGCAAGTGAATTCAAGAAAATAATAATTAACAACATTTCGTGTTGAAATAAATAAATAATAGTGTTAAACATTTCCAACCCTAATTCCGGTGTGTTGTTACATAAATAAAAATGACAAAAACATTACATTTCACCAACTTAAAAGCAACTAGCTAGTATAAATAGCATTCCAACCGCTACTAATTGTGTTATATCCCAGCCAGCATAAATAGCTCCAGTATCAAGCGAAAGGCCTCGTCGATACTGTATATAGCAGATATAATGCGGTTGACATATTATTATACACTTTTTTCTTTATTTTTACTTAAATGTTCTTATTAATAAGTATACATTTATCATAACTGGAAATACCTTCATCCCATTCTTATTACATAAGTACAAAATAATTTTCTATACCGTTTTTCTTTTTTTAGCTGCTTATGTGAGAAGCGTGCTCGTAGGCTAAAGATAATTCATTGTTGTGAGAACTATATAACAGTGTTGACTTTGAGGCACCTTATAGGTTTGAGCACATTAATACAATAATGATTGTCAAAGTTATTTTTATATTGCCACTTTGGCTTCTTGTTGTTGAAATGTTTGTTTGTTCGAAAATTACGTCAGCTTGAAGCAATAAAAATGTGTGTGTCTGAGTTTTCATGGCAAAGCCACATCGGGCTATCTGCTGTATCCACCGAGGGCAATCGAACCCCTGATTTTAGCGTTGTAAGTTCGTAGACTTACCGCTATTCTACCGGGGAACAGCAGCGAAAAAGGGACGTTTTTATGATATAGATAAACAAACTTTGATCTTTACATCTAAATATTTCGTACTTAAATAACTCGGAAATTTCACTTTAGCGATTATAGTTGTAGTTGATCATGGCAGAAATGAGAGATGGTTAGAAATAATAAAAATATATATTTACTCTTTTTATTGACGTATTTTTCAGGTGGACTGCATCGTGTAAAAATTTTGATTTACATTTAATCAGAAATTTTTAATAGCTTCTGATAAAAGTTGGTGAAATATTACATGATAAAAACGACAGAAAATTCTATTTTAATTTTTGGAAATGATAATTTATAAGGTTTATGACACTATAAAATTTTAGACCATCTTGGTTTTTACGTACTCAATCCAGTCCAAACGCAGGATACAGAGACCTATTAAGAATTAACCAATAATATAACTGGCATAAAATATACTATGCACAGATATTAAATATAATATAAAAACATCATCAAAACTCCATTAATAGACGTTTGAACAGTTTGTAGCTCTAAGTACCGATTTATCTTTAAAATGTATAATTAACGACAGCTCAAGCAATTTGTATGTATGTACTTAGAATATTTGTAATACCCTATGTATCGGTCCAGATGAATCTTATAAAGCAGTCGTCGTTTATCTGAAAACCCAATAAACTATAAATTTCATAGTAATAGACGGACATTCAAAATATTGTAATTTTGAATCATTAACCACACATTTATGTTATCATTAAGGATTTAACCATCTGGAAACTCACTTTGCCGTCTATCATTAAGTATCAGTACTATGTAATGTGTAAAGACCAAGCAGATATAGATACTACCCCCTTAAACAACTTCAGCTTCAAATGGTAGTAATGTGTAAAGACCAAGCAGATATAGATACTACACCCTTAAACAACTTCAGCTTCAAATGGTAGTAATGTGTAAAGACCGAGCAGATATAGATACCACACCCTTAAACAACTTCAGCTTCAAATGGTAGTAATGTGTAAAGACCAAGCAGATATAGATACTACACCCTTAAACAACTTCAGCTTCAAATGGTATGTATCCAGCCCAGAAATAAATTATTAAGAAGTATGTCGTTTTCACTACGAAGGATATTACTTTCTGCATAAATTAAATAATTTTGAGTCGAAAATGTCAATACAAAATTTACTGGATGAGGATTTATGTGGATCGGAGCTAACAAAACATATGTATTTTGACTGATTGGGTCTGATTTCAACCTAATCACGAAACAGCTATATTAACGTATTATCGTAGCTTAAAACTTAATGGTTCTAGGTTAAACCATGTACAATGGCCTTAGATTGACCATAGATATCCTTATCAAAGTTTTCCTAGAAGAATGGCACAGAGTTCTGTTCGTCTTTGTTGGAATAGACTCGCTTAAAAATCCATATTGAATTTACCTTTTCAGAATAAATTTAAATAGAGCCAGATTTTCTCTTGGTTTCTTCTGCTAGGGCTTTTCCAGGTTAATCTAATTCATCTTCTTTCTCATTTATTTTCCTCCTTGTCTTCCTTGGGCAACGTGCCCTAGAACTATTTTCCTCCTTGTTTTCCTTGGGCAACGTGCCCTAGAACTATTTTCCTCCTTGTTTTCCTTGGGCAACGTGCCCTAGAACTATTTTCCACCTTTGTTATCTGTATCCTTATTTTTGCCTGGGAGTTCAGCAATTTTTTTTTACAGCAAACTGAGTCATCTTTTCAGAGAGATTGAAATCTCCAATGATATTCTTTAACTGGTGTCGGTTAATCATAGAGAAACATCTATTGACATTCTCAAAGAAGTAAAGGAAAGCTGGATCAAGAAGATTTAGAAAAACGAAGAGCACAGTACAGCAAACTGTAAAACCAGCTCGAGTGATTCCTTCTCCAACCAGGTAAGGTTTCTTAAGCAGATAACTATTCAGAATATTTAATGCCTTTGTTATCTCCTTCTTATCATAGTCAGTGACCTGTTTGATAAACTGCAGGCAATCAACAGAATTTCTTCAGACTTATAGACAATCCATTGCAGAATATGAGCTTGGTTTACGAAAGAACTATGGTTCTGCTTTCAAATATGAATTTGTTATCCATTGTTTAAAATGTTGAAACTTTTCATAACGAAACTTCTTTTGGAAGGTGGAAGGCTTCTTATCTTTGGAGACACCATTCGTTCATAACTTCACTTGTGCTCTACTATAATATGCTGCAATGAGGGATTTTTACCCTTAAAGTTGTTAGGATATGTGTAAAGGGTTCCAGCTGCCAATGCTACTGGTGAAAAAATATTTTTATATTCGCCACGTTCATGTTTACACTGACCACAGATATCTCACTCAAGGTGAAAATAACAAGTTGCACATGACTTTTATCATAGGAAATAACTGTATTATGCTATTTTCATTACGACTCTATTTCTCTTCTATTCTGGAATTAAATATAAGGTTAAGTGCAGCAAATAAATTACATGTGGAATATAACAGAAAATGAATATGAATAGCAGACATGAACTTGTCAAAGTTACATTTCCTTATTAATGTAGCATACAAATGTTACTATTTTCAAGGTTCCTATAGTGAGAAATAGAAAAGAGTTTGTTTCAGAGCAAACCCACAATGGGCTATTTGCTGTGTTCACTACGGGGAAACGAATCCTGGATTTTAGCGTTGTAAGTTTGTTAACTTTCCGCTGTCCCCTCATGGGACATTGAGAAATAGGTATATTTTAAGGTTACTAGGCAAGATGTTCGAAACCGAGTCATATTGTAAATTGAGAAAATATACCGACTTTATACTTTATTAAAGGGGTGGAAGTTGTGCACAAAATGTTTTATTTGTAGTTTTTTTGTGTATTTTTGTCACTAAATACTGTTAAAAACAGGAGAGATGTCAAACTACAATTAGGGAAGTGACCATTGAAATATTATACAAAGTCAGTTCTATTCTACAAAAAAACGTGGACTTTCCTGAAACGAAACGACAGTTAAAAGCATTTTAAATGTGTTGTTATAGAGAATGGTAAGGATCAGTTAGACAGAAAGAAAGACTAAGAAAGTATTGGAACACGTAGACAAAAATAAATCTACTGGACATATGTAGTAAACGGAAGATGCGCTACGTTGGGCATATAATTAGATTCTGATGTATGAAAGAGGAGAAAGAAGCAAACAGAGACTCACTTGGCTCGATGACATTAGGAATTGGATTGGAAACGAAAGCTTGAATTACGAAATACGAAAGTTGGTGCAGGCAACTAGGAACACAGAACAACGTAGAACCATGGTCGTTACCCTTCAGAATTAGGGAGAGTAACGTGGATATTGTGATTATAACAAAAACGTCTGCCAGACACTAGATAAATGCTTGTAAGGCCGTCTGCGACCAATTAATTCACTGCATACATGCTATCCGTATAACTTCTTTGTTTTA